ATGTTTGAAAATTTTTAAAATATGATAAAAGTATTATATAGTTTATATTTGGAATTTAATTTTTTAAAATTAAAATACATTTTTTTAAAAAAAATTATACAATAATATATAGTTATAGTATCAACAATAATCAATATTTATGATTTTAATAATAAATAGTATTATTTATTAATAAATTAATTAATTAATCAAATATTTTATTTATAATTTATTAATTAACTTATTATTGACAATAGTTTGCAAAACAATTTTTGTTAATAATAAAAAATAAATTTATTGAATTGCAAAAAATAACAACTAAAAAAATTATTAATTGCTATAATTTATTAATATTATTATTAAYAACAATAATAATAATAATAACTACTAACAAATTGTATTTATAATAACTTATATGACAAAAAATATACACAATTTATTATCCAAACAATATGACAATAAATATATAAATTAAAAAATAAAATAATTAATAAATAGGTTATCCTTGATAGAATTGTAACATTTATTTTTGGTATATATATATAAATAATAACTTAATTAATAAATTAATCTAATAAATTTTGCTAGTTTATAATTTAAAAAAATACTATAATTATTATTTTGAACTAAAAATGTTTGAAAAAATATTAATAATTATTTTTAGCATTTTTATCAATAGTAAGTCTAAATGAAAAAAAAAATATTTCAATAGTTTGTATGTATTTATTATTATTATTTTGTTGTTGTTGTTTAGATATATGGACACGAAATCCATTACCGGACACGACTAGTGACCAGTTTCTTAAACATATACTACACGCCCACAATGTCTACCGTTCCCGACACCAGAATACCGAACCACTAGTATTGGACCAAACGGTTTGTATTATTAATATACAGTATAATAATATAAGTGGTTATTGAATGTTATATATATAAAAAAAATTATTATTTTTTTAGGTGATAGCCTATGCCCGGAGCCGATGCCAAACTATATCCCAGTACAATGGCCTAAGCTATGGTCACCAGGGCTTACAGGTTGGCGTCTATGGCGAGAACCTGTATTGGAAAGGTGGTGGTGGTGGGGGTGGGGGTAACAGTGCTGCTAATAGTAACGAAGCTGTTAATTCATGGTATGKGRAGATTAAACCAAATTGAGAWAACATTTTGTTTTTTTGAAACTTTGTTTGTTTGTGGACAGGTATGATGAAATAAAATTTTATAACTGGGCTAATCCGGGTTTCAGTATGCAAACGGGACACTTTACCCAATTGGTTTGGGTAGGTACCAGYAAATTGGGCTGTGCCCAGTGCTCCAGTAGTACGGAACAGTATATAGTATGCAACTATCAAATACCTGGYAATATGATGGGACAGTTTCCCGATAATGTCAGRCCGTTAGATAGGAGGCCATTACTACTACTACAACTACTAGTACTACAACTACCCCAACAACCCCTACTACTTGTACTACCAATACTACTAATACTACTACCAGTCCTAATGAAATGTCAACTACCGGTAGTTTATTCATACCTAACATTACTACTACTACTACTACTACTACTACTACTACTACTACTACTACAGTACCGACAACTACTGGAAATTATTATTATTATTATTATGATTATTATTATTGATTTAGAAATTAATAATTATTTTTTTTTAAAAATAATTGTATATTATTTTCTAAATCATATATTATTAATATTTTTATTATATTGTTTTTTTTGAAAAATTATTATTTAATTAATTAATTAATTGCAAAATCAATATTATACTTTTATTATTATAAAAAAATAAAATAAAAATAATATAATCAATGAAAAAATTAATTATTAAATTATCTAATATTAATCTATATAATACTTTAAAAAAAAACAATTTTTAACTAATTTTTAATTATTTATTTTGTTTAAAACAAACACACACACATTTGTTAAAATATATTATATCTAATTAGTTAAAAAAAATTAAAAAAAATATTAATAAAGTTAAACACTTAAAAACTAACATTACTTTCTATAAAAACACTGAATATTTGTTAAAAATATTTAGTTAATAAAAATTGCAATTATATTGACTATTGATTAAAATATAATCTGGGTCGATCAACAACATTGATTTTACTAGTAAATTTAGCATGATCAATTTTGAATATGTTAAATATATAATAATTTTTACAATTTATTATATTTAATATTTAACATTAATTTTAACAATTCAATGCACTCTTAAAATGATAGTTTATATATATATATATATATATATATATATTGTATATAAAATCAATGTTTACTGTAAAAATAAAATAAAATTTAAGATTAGATTTTTTGTTTCAATTGATTTTATGAGACTATAAATAGCAGTTGACATAAGTGTCAAAGTCTGGCCTAAAAATATTATTTATATATTATTAATACCAATAATAAAATTATAAATATATTTTTTTGAAAAATATTAATCATATTATATATATAATCATGAAATTAAAATTAATTATTTACTCGTTATTATTAATTCAGACAATTTTTCTATTAATTAATTGTCACGAAATTGTTAGACAATCAGAATCAGCCACTAATGAGACGACATTACTGGGTATGTCATACCCATCCTCCCCCACCCCTAAAAAATATTGGATATGTTTATCGATAATCACTTATTTTGTATTGATTTTCAGATACAACCACAACAACAACCAGGATCTCACAGTTTTTCACAAACACTTGGTCATCGTTGAGGAACCGCTGGTTAAGTAGTAGCTCATGGAGTCTGCCATCTATTATACCGCAATCCTTGGCCGACATTCAGGCAAATGTTAAACAACTGAGGTATCAGTTGACCAACGCATCCGCCGCCGATACCGTATCAGCACTGATGACTCAGTTGTTGTCAATGACCGGACAACTAAACCAATTGCTACGGCAAAGAGCCGATAGTGACCAGTTAGTGGTCAGTCGTTTGTACGCCGATTTGATTGGCAATACCCGAAACGGTACCAATGAAACAACTGCCGAGCAATTGCGCAATGCATTTACCGAAGCCACCAAAACAATGGCCGAAAACTATTCGGGTTTAGCCAACAATTCCTTACAGATGGCCTCAGATTTGACCGACAAAACTAACCGATTGTTTCGCAAAGCAATGTCAAGAGCCGGCAATGATACCAATCAGGCAGTTGTTGCGGTAAACACAGCTATCGATGCCATAATCCGTAATCAGACACTCGTACTACCGGTCAGTGGACAACAAATTGTTGCCTCGTTGGCCATAAGTGCTCAACGATTGTCCCAATTGTTACGCGGACTCTACAACAACAACAGTACAGACAGTAGTGAAATCGGTGTTCAGTTTCGGGAAACGGCCAGACAATCGCTGGAAACATTGGCGGCCAATATGAATGAATTGGGATCAAAGCTACAGGTATTGGACACCAAAACAGGGGACAGTTATGTAGTCAACAGTGATGACAATACTGAGGACAATGAGATCGATGTAATCTCCAGTGCAGGCAAACGGTTGACCAAAGAGTCGGAAGAGCTAATGAAACAGATTTATGAACTCAGAAATAGATAGAGAAAGAGAGAGACAGACAGAGAGAGAGAGAGAGAGAGAGAGAGAGAGAGAGAGAGAGAGAGAGAGGAAGAGAGAGAGAGAGAGAGAGAGAGAGAGAGAGAGAGGAAGAGAGAGAGAGAGAGAGACTAATAGTTATAATTAATAAATAAATAAAATAATTAGTAATTAATAAATAAATAAAATAATTAGTAATTAATAAACAAATAAAATAATTAGTAATTAATAAACAAATAAAATAATTAGATTTATGTTAAACTTATTAATAGATTTTTTGTTTGTTTGTTTAAAAAAATATTAGTAAAAATTTTGTCAAAACTTGTAGAAAGTGTAGAAAAAATTGTTAAATAWATTTTTAATTTAAAAATAATATAATAATAATTAAACTCATATTATAAAGTATTAAATTTWWAAAWATATATTTTTAACAATTGCTACACACTTTGGACGATAATGTTGTTTTGATAGATAAAAAATATATAATTTTTATTTTAATTAACATTTTAAATAATATTAAATAATCTTATTTTTATTTCTTTATCACTTTTATGAAATATATTTATTATAACATAAAAATTGTTGAATATATATATATTAGATTTAATTTCTGGTTAAAATCGATAATTAAATTTAATTAAAATTATATATAAATTAATACAAATAATTATTWTATATATATATATAAATCTATACAAACAGTTAACAATTATATAATTTTTATTTTTAGATAAAATTAATAATTAGAGCAATAATATAACAAAATTGAAAATATATTTTTTTAAATCTATGATTTATTATTTCTACTATGATTTCACTTAATGTCTACATATATATATATATATATATATATATATATATATATATATATATATATATATATATATATATATTAAAAAATAAAAATTATTAGTTTATACTTAATATATAATAAATTTAAAAATAATTTTTAAAAATAAATGATTAYATTCAATTTAATTCAATTAAAATCACATAAATRTATAAATAAAAAATAAAAAACATAATATCATTAAATTATTTGTTTTATACATATTTGTTTTAAAAATATATATTCAATATATATATATGATTTTATCAATATATATRATTTTATATATATATGATTTTATATATATATATATATMTATATATATATATATATATATGATTTTATATATATATATATATTTACTATAAATCAGTATTTTCTGAACTGGCGGTCGATATCTGACGGCTTATAGACTGTGAACCACTTAAGAGGAGATCATTATCAACAACAACAACGACAACATCACTATCATCATCATCGGCAGCACTCGTTGGACACGACTGTCCAAATCGCTTACCGCCGATGATATGACCATTGAATTACAAACACTATTATTATGACCAGAATATTGTTTATTATTATTATTATCGACTAATAATTGTCGGCTTTTATCGTCAATTAAATGCTGGCTTTTATTATCTGATTAATCAACAAAAAAAAMTAAAAAAAATAATTAATAAATCATTAGTTAATAATTGATTAWTAGTAGTTATTATAGCTAATTAAATACAATATTATAATTACCGTATGAGATATAACTACTATTACTACTACTACTACTACACAATGACTAGTGTTGTCTTTAATAATATTAATATTATATTATTTGTATTATTATTATTATAATAATAAGTTGATTATCGATATGTTGTAAATTGCCTTCAAGTCTATCAATTAGATATTTAACGCAATCGTATATATAAATGTATTGATCCTAAAAATAGATAACAATTAATTTTTTTAAAATTATTATTATTATTAATCAAAAATAATTTATAAATAAAATAATAAATATATATATATCAACACATTTAATAATTATACTGTAATTATCAACAACAAAAAAATAAAGTCAATGTCATTTATTTGATACATCAATGCCATCATCAAAAAAAATTATTATTAATAATTTAATCTTATATTTTTAAAACATTTTTAATATATATATATTACAAGTTATTAATGATTTATRWGTTTTAATTTTTAAATAMAAAATTACAGTATAACCTAATAAATGACTCGAAATAAAAAAATTCAAATATTCTGCAATTTTTTTTATTCATATATTAATTATATTAAWATTATATTAATATTATATTAATATTATATTAATTATATTWATATTAAATTAATTATATTAATATTAWATTAATATTATATTAATATTWTATTAATATTATATTAATATTATATTAATATTATATTAATATTATATTAATTATATTAATTATATTAATTATATTAATTATATTAATTATATTAATTATATTAATTATATTAATTATATTAATTATATTAATTATATTAATTATATTAATTATATTAATTATATTAATTATATTAATTATATTAATTATATTAATTATATTAATTATATTAATTATATTAATTATATTAATTATATTAATTATATTAATTATATTAATTATATTAATTATATTAATTATATTAATATTGTATTAATATATTAATATTAATTATATTAATATTRTATTAATATATTAATATTGTATTAATATATTAATATTGTATTAATATATTAATATTATGAGGACATACCTCAGTCTGGACCATATTTGGCCTACACTTTCGCATATCGCATACTGTCTTAAATACGTCAATAGCTAGATCTGGTATAATAAACTCTGGGCTACCGGTGCTGCTGATGGTGTTGTTGGTTGTATCGGTTGAACACTTGTTTTTTAACATTTCCATAATGGTGTCCACGGCTATGAATGTACCGCTACGGCCAACMCCGGCACTGAAATATATATATATATATAAATTATTATTATTTAAAAATCAATCAATCAATTTATTTATTTMYTAAATTTTCAAATTATTTTWATTAACAAAATAAATAAATAATTATAATTATAAATTATATATATATTAACAGCAGTTTATATAGTAAATATAGTATAACTAACTAACTATAACTAATTACTAAATAACTAATACTCATTAAATATATATATATATATATATATATATATATATAATTGTGAATTAACTAATAATACTAAAAATTTTTTATAGGTGACCTATTTCMCTGTAAAAAAATTTATTTTTTAACAATTAATATTAGATATAACAAGTTTGAAACTATTGATGACAACAACAATTAATATACAAAAAATAAATAATAAATTAATAAATATAATTTAAACAGTTTTTTWWAAAAAATGATTGATATTTTATCTATATATATATAATAATAAAAAATATTATAAAATTTACACTACGGTAATAATAATAATAATAATTAAAAATGTAACTAAAAATTTATTATTTATTTTTATTAAATTAATAAAATTTATGTTATGTATGAAATTTTTGTAAATACATTTCATATATATATATTATATTTAATTATTATTACATTAATTAAGGGAATATACTATAGTTWKTTACAAAAAAAAGACATTATATTTTTGTAATTTAAAWAAAAAAAAAAATATTTARYTATATAATAATAATAATAAATATTTTACCTGCAATGTACTAGAATAGGTGAATTAATTTCATGGGGCMTATCGGCTATATTAGTTGATGGACAGGTAGTATCGGTAGTTGTTTGTTAATAGCTGGTCACTGTACTGTTTGCGTATGATTTCAATCAATTGGATGAGCGATAATGGATTTTGTGGACAACCAAAATCAGGCCATTGTATGAAATGGTATTGTGTTAGGCAATGATAGTGTCTTCCTATAAAATAGTTTTTTTWTTGAAACAAAAAAAAAAATAACAAATAAAACAATTAATATTATTTAAACAAAAAATAAGTTTTAATATATATATATAAAATATCAAAAAATATATATATCAAACATATATATCAAACATATATATCAAACATATATATATAAAACATATATATCAAACATATATATCAA